ATGTTTAGACAATTCACTAGCATAGGTTCTCATAATTGGACGTCTATTTTACCAGAGTTAATTAATGACTATAATAAAACGATGCATACAACGATTGGTGTGACACCGCAACAAGCCAACGACGACCCGTCACGGGTAAAATTAAAATACGTCGCCGCGAAAACCGCAAAAATCAAGTTTAGCGTGGGCGACAAAGTCCGCGTAAGCGTATACAAGGGTGTTTTCACAAAAGGATATTTACCCAATTGGTCTACCGAAATATTTACAATTATTAAAGTGAACAAGACTACGCCGTGTACATTCTTATTGCAGGATTACGAGGGTAACCCGATAGCCGGTGGTTTCTACGCCGAAGAAATACGTAAAACGAAACTACCTAATGATTATCTAGTGGAAAAAATAATTCGCACCAAAGGCCAGCGGGTGCTCGTACGCTGGTTAGGTTTTACCGACGAGCATAATAGTTGGATAAATAAGTCCGATCTTGTAATATAAGTGCAGTTATCACGACGTCATGGATGTGTTCGGGGGGTCGCCGTCTAGTCAATTGAATAAGACAATCACCGACATGAAAGAAAAATTTGCCGAACAACTCGACTCCCACGTTAATTTGATCGGAATAAATTATTCAAAAATCGCGAAGCTTGATGAAAAGTTTACCAATGAATTAGGTTTGCACACTAACTTAATCACGGCCAACGATGAAAAAATATCGTCGTTCAACGATCGAGTCCTAGCGAACGAAATGCAAATAATTCGACTAGGAACAATCGGGTCAGTGCAGGCGAACGATAAATATTTTTTAGAAAATAATAATAAAATCGAATCGTGCATTGAGTCCATAGAGGATGTAAATAAATACATTAAAGATTTAAAAGTCTCGCTGGCTCATGCGTATGCCAGAATAATTATACTCGAGGACAGATTCGCGGAGAATTGGAAACAGTCAGATCCCTAACCTGTTACCAGTAAGACCTATTTATATTAACTCTCGACGAAGTGGATTATGGCGTCGGCTATCATAGATATTCAATGCATACTAGGTTTGAATTTTAAATATCTTATAAAAGAAATGTCAATTCTCGATGTAAACAACCGCGGTAGTCAACATTATATTTTCAAACACAATGAAACACCGTGTACGGCTAAAAGTAAAGCGGTGAATATGTGGTTGTACCGTAACTATCATCAGCTTTCATTGGGTTGCGGTGACGTGGAATATTCACAAATCGAGCGAATTTTAAAATCACTACATTTCAAGTGTGTCTACGTCAAGGGTGCGGAAAAACGTAAGATTATACAAGATTTCATTCCAGAAGTCGATGTCATCGATTTGGGCGTGGATCACGACTGTCCCAGATTAAATCAGCTGGATCGACTTTATACGTCATCTACTGACGATAATTACGATGATAATACTAATAATAATAATAATAATAATAATTCTATTAATTATCATATTAACTATTCTCGCAATCGTGTTGAAAACTACGACCTAGGATCTCCGTGCTGTATATATCACATGGACTTAGATCGCACACAATGTACATATCATAGAGTTTATGCATTACGCAGATGGCTTATAAATAATTCGTAGAATAATATTTGTTTTTGATTTTATATGATATTATAATGTTTAATTTTTCTAAATAATATTATATTTTAATGAATAAACACATACATATTACATTATACAGTCGTAGAGTTTTTTATTTGAACGAAAATGTTCACATCTACATACACATACAACATAGTGCCATAATCGTGTGGTAATGCATTAACAATGCATATTGCACTGTTCGATCATCATTCATCAGCACTAATATTATCGATATATATATATAATATATATATATATGCGGTGAGTCAGCATGTATGGTATTTGATCCCACATGCATAAGACAAGGAATCGTGAAAAAAAAAAAGTCACCGCAATTTTTGTTGTATTGCTAATAATATTTATCGGACAATGGGATGTCATTGTTCCGCCCGCCCGTCAAAGTATGCCGATACAGGGTCACCTTCATACCCACAAGGATCGTTGCGGTCGAATATAGCGTGATCAAGGGAGGTGATGGGGTGTTAGTGTCTCTGCTGTCATTAAGTTAATTAAATTGCAGTGAATTATAATTCAGTCGTCTTCGTCAACCAAATACGCGAACAACCTGCACTGATTTATTTTTATTATATCATCAGCCACATCACGTTATATAAAGTGAGTTACTTATTTAATATTTATTGTACAATAATAATAGTATTAATAATTTATTAATATTATTATATATTATATGGCATTATATCGTATATGGTTTACAGATATAATTTTCTGTATACAGACATCCATTTTTATATAAGATAATAGTAACTAAAATAGTAATATTCAATACCTAGATTCAAATTCGTAATCATTATCATCGTCATTATCATCATCATCATCATCATCATCATCGCTGCCATTCACATTAGCAGTATATTGTCAAGTTTTCACCAGTCGCGAAATAATATTATAAGTGAGTTTTATTTGTTTTATTTATTTATTGAGGGGCATTAATTTATTATTATTATTATTATATACACTCACATCGTATACCTAATACTAATTATTAGAAGTTCAACCCGTATTAGTTAATTTTCTATGAATAATTATTTTATGTCAGATACTAATATTAACGTTGCGTTAAATAATAATAACACAGGGACGTACTGGGGATAAGGAGAAAAAAAACTCTATTATAAATATTTTATACAATTTCACTAAACGGGGATTAACTACATCTAAGTTTGTTTTTTGTAAAATATTTTAGCACATGTTAAATAATTATATTGTATTATACCCGATTTAACCTAATATCCTATATAACGTCCTGTAAGTGTGTAAATGATTTATTTAATTATTTTTTAAAACATTAGATCGTAAGATGGCGTTCCTGAAATCTCTCCAAAAACAAGCCATCAATTTGAACAAATCAGTTGGAGACTTAATAGTTGATGAGCCCTATGTTATACGGGCAATGAACGAGGTGGTGACAAAATATGGGCTGTCCATAGCGTGCCAGCTGGTGGACAACACTTCAGGTGGTGTCATAAATATATTTTTACCAAAATACATCACCATCTCAAAGGCAGAAGCTGAAGAATACAATATGGGAAAATTAGCTATATCTTTAATTTTTCGCGGAAAAACTAATGGTCGGTTTATTATAGACTTTGAATAAAGTCTATAATAAATCTGGTTAAGGAAAAAATATTTAACAATAATTTCCTGCTTAACTTGTAATAAAAAAAAAATATATACATATATAGAAATGAGTTTCAATTTATTTTTATTTTAAGGTTATATATTAATTATAATAATAATACATATTAGGTATCTGATAGAAAAAAAAAAAATAGAAAATAATATAAGTATAATATGCACATATATATATATATATATATTCTATACTTATTAGAATTATCTGATATGCTTAACATGGGTATAAGATTGTTTCAAATAAAAAACATTTTATTTTATATTTAGGCATACATATTATATTATTTCTAAATAATATTTTTCAAAGTATAACTATATATATATTTTTTTATAGGAATCTTAGCGGAAATGTTTTATTTATACATAGTCGCAGCACTATATAATAATGATAATAATAATAATAATAATTATTATTATTATTATTATTATTAGGTAAAAATCTGCTATTTAGATTTGAAAGAAAAAAAAGAGACTTCAGTGTTCTAAATATTAATAATATTTTATTTACACAAAATTAAAAGGTACTACATTCCAGCGTTAAATTTGGATAACATTATTTTTTTCCAGTGTAGAGTGTTTTCTTGATCCCACGCGGAGTCATCACTGATATAGTTAGATTGTACGTTATCTGAAAATATGAGTTATTTTATTGTAATTCTATAGCGATTTTATTTATACATTAATACTTACGTGGTGCATCTCTACCGCTTGTGAATTGACCGGATATCAAGTCTAGAATAGGTGGGATATAGCAATCTAGCGTTAATCGTTGACCGTCCTGCGTCCAATAATCGGGCGGCATCCACGGAAATCTCTGACCGGGATTAAATCCCAACGATTCTTGCACGACCTCGGCCTTGACCTCGGGTTCGACTATACGTAGCGTATAGTGATCCGGATTGTAAGTCTCTTGAAATAATTGTGGTGACTAAAAATAATAAATACATTGTAATTTAAAATAGAGTGATACAACATTATAAAACTTACCACACATCGAGACTTGTGGACATAGTTGAAAAATGAGCACTCCTCTGACGACATATTAATATATCGTTATTGCACGTTCGTAAATGCTTAACTCCAAAGACTTACTGATGGATAAGTGTTAGCCATCAGAACACCGTATGTAGGCATATAAAATATCCTCGCTTCTTATCACAGCACGAATGAGCGGGGGTTTTTAAAAAATAATAATAATAATAATAATGTTGCCGAGACCTAGGTATAATATATCGGATAAGTATATATGTAGATAAGGCTAAGTATAAGATAAGATAATGATGATAAGATAAAGATAAGATAAAATATGATAAGGTTGGATGATAAATACGATTATTCGTTATCCACTACACAATGTAATAATATGACGTTCTACATCATAATAATAATAATAATAAAAAAAAAAAAATATACGAAATACTATTTTATTTTAAGCCTACTTAATTACTTATAATGTATCACCGTAAATGTTTGCATTACTGCATGTGATATGGTATTTACCCCTAAAGATAAAAATAATTAATACGCTTTACGTGTGTGTTATATATATATAATATATATTTGAATTGTGATTTTTTCCCGCCACACACAATACCGTTTACATTTTAATAGATTATACAATAACGATAATAATGGTGATAGTAATAATAACAATAATAATAATAATAACAATTACGATAGTGATAACAATAATAATAATAATAATAATAATTGTAATAATGATAACAATTTTTTTTTATATGATTATTCAATCAATTCTATAATGCCCATGTGCGAGAGTATCAATACGGTTAGGGAGAATATATCGTTTGTCGTCGAATCTGTTTAGGACTAATTTACTAGTCCTAATCGTGCTGACTTGGTGTTTATACGAACGGATCGATATATTCTCTCTATACGCCGTATACGGCATATATGATTGTTGTTGTGTTGGTAGAGGTTGGGGTGGTGGTGGTGGTGGTGGTGGTGTAGACGGCGGGTGTTGTGTAGTTGTCGGTGGAATCGCTGCAATCACGGCGTTTCGGTGTATACGCTTAATGACAATACGCGCGCAATCTCGAGCTATCAGCCTCCCCGTCGACGCGTCGAACTCCTTATCGCGATAATCTTCCGCGTCCGAACCGTCGTCGTCGTCGTCGTCGTCGGCGAATAAACAGCGCATGTGATCGTTGAAAGTCAGGTGATTTCTAATAACATGTCCCCGGACTCCCTTGGACCTGATATTTACGGCACCCTCGATATCGTAGGCATACGACTTGGCGCGTAATCCGATAAACTGACGCATATTTCGGGCTGAAATCTCGTCCTTAAAGTATCCAGGTAATTTCATACGTGCCAAAGTGTAACATCTGTGATCAGGTGGTAGATTAGATGTGTCCATGCGATTCAGCAAGTTCGGATTATTCGCCACATCGTCGTAAAAATCGCGTGTTTTAACGTGATATATCAGAGAATCTGCCAAGTAAAATAGTTGTAACGTTAATAACACATTAAATACAATAGTCGATCACAGTGTGATATACATACCAGTATCGGTGTACAGCAGGCTGATATTGTCACCGTAATGACGTTTCATCACGTTGTAATGATATTCGTACATCAACTCCTTGCTCCGCTCGAGTATGACAAACCCTATGTAAATAGGTTTACAGAAATTGATTTCTTTATTGTGCATAGTCACTGCCGCGAGATTTTCGCAATAATTGGTGCATTGTTTGAACGTCGGGCGGTTAATCAGTTTTCGCATCCTGACGGGGCATGACACGAGTTCTACGTTAATACGTTTTCTCATTGATTCCATTGTCTTACCTGTAAGGTAGTAAGGTAGTAAGGTATATTATTATGACATAAAAATAAAAATTGCAAATATTTTTTTTGCAAATATTTTTTTTTTTTTCGCAAAAAATTATAAATAAATTACCGAATACACTGTTGTTCATGTCTTTGAAAAATTGCTCCTCGAATTTATTAGCAGCCCGTGCACGCATCCCCGTGTTCAACGCGATATACGGCGCAAGCCATCGAGATTGTCGAAATTGTAGCACTCGATGCACCTGAAATGTACAAAATAAGTAATTAAATAATAATACTACTACTTTAACAATAATCATGATAATAATAATAATAATAATAATAATTATTATTACCTTTTCGACTATCAATCCGTTTGCAATGGCCTGTTTCAAATTCATATAATGTATGACGTAGTTTTCCTTGCGTTCGAATGTGACCATTAATTTCCGAACTTTAGACCCGCGTGGAATGCTTGCGTGTGGTAGGAACGGCATATCATTGTGCTCGTCGTGCAGACTTTGCGGATACGAGATGTCGACTTCGTAGACTCTCCCCACGTCATCCGCCTCATCCATATACTCGAGTTGAGCTAATGCCACGTCCGGATTTCCAGCGTACCACGAAAACCCCCCGTAAGGAATGTTTTGAGACATACTCCACCCGTATAAATTATTAGCTATGTGGAAACAATGATATTATTATTATTATTATAAGCATGTACATAATGATTGTCACAATGACAAAAGTCAAACTTCAATTTCCCCCCACAATTTATCATTAATTCGATATCTGGGTTTTTCATGCGACAGTTTATATATATATATTATTATTATTATTATCTTAAAATATTACCATCTTGATAGACGAGCCATGTGTTCGGTTCGTCGGCTTCGTACCCAGGCGTCTTCGGGTTGTTCGCCTTGGCGTAACGCTTGCTGACTTGCGTCAGCCCGCCACGCGTACCTCGTTCGAAAAATAATATAGATTCGTAATCAGTAAGCAGTTGTAGCCTGATGGAGGTAAACTTTAGCATAGCATCGAAGCTGTATCCGGGGGCCGTGAAATAATACGCCGGGTCCAGCTGGTACGTCGACATGCATATATCGCGGAAATTCTCGAAAATGTCGGCGCTGAGTAACACATCGATTTTCAGGTATAGATCACTGTAATCGCCGAGAGTGTGGCAGTCGAAATGATTCCATACAAGCTTTGCGTGCGCGTAATCTCCGTCGCTAACGTGCGTCTCGGTCAACGCGCTGTAAAACTCCTCCCTGGCCGGCAACCTCGTCTCGCTCAATTTACTCCAGCTGTCCGTGTACTCGTATGGGTACACGCCTTTACGCGTGACCAGCGGCATCTCCGTCGACGCAAACACTTTCGCGACTTCGCGAAACTTGGCAAAGTCCGCAGTCGAGAGGTTCTTCGCCAAGTCAGCCAAACTCGAAGCCATGAACCTGCACGTGTCGATAAACCTGACGGCGAACTCGTTGTTTATGTATTTTGAAAACGATATATATCGTTCCTCGCTATTGGGTATCACCGATATCGCGTTGGCGTCAAGTCCCAGATGCGTGACGAAAAAATGAGCGTCGTAATTCGATAGATTATGTAAATAGCAAGGCACGAACTTTGGCGTTTTTAATTTGAGATTGCACGTGTTACACAGAGTCTTGAGAAAACGGCCCGACAAGTGGTCGTGATGTGCGACTTTGCAATTTCCGTCGGTGAAAGTTTTCGCACACAAATCGCACACGGTCTTCATTCCGTGCGCGCGCACATCCTCGACGCTCATCGCGATCGGCACGTTGGTCGTCTTCAGCAGTTTAGATATTTTTTCGGCCATATCTATGACAGCTATGACGAATCGCTTGGCTACATCGTCCACGGTCTCTGAGCCGCGAAAAATGATCGGAGTCCGCGGGATGCCGAACTGCTCCATCAGCTCTGCCGGTACACCGTCCGCAGCGACAACCATAAACCCATAGCTCATGGGCTGATGAGTGTGCAACGCTTCGGTATTGACACCGTATCGCTGCGTGGATTTCACGAGAAGGGCCTCAAAGTCGGCGTACATAACGAACGGCAGGCGTTGCGTTTTACACAGCGCGGTGAACTCGAGCGTGCTCCCTTCCGGCGGCAATATAGGTAATATGGGTTTGTGGGTGCCACAGGCCAAACGATGACGTGCCAACGCCTCCTCGCCGTGCAATTTATATCGCAAAGGCTGGTCGTCGAAACTGGTGAAACACTTTTTGCAGAAAAATAATCGATGTTCGCGACTATTTTTCTGCATACTAGCGAGTCTCGAAAAATTTGACACATAGGTGTAGTGACTTTTTTCCCCCGAACCGGTGATCAATAGTAAGTCAAAATGATCCGGCAGTTCGTCATCGACCACCCGCAGGGGGTACGCCGCCGATTCCGTCGTAGATTTTTTATTTTTTTTTTTATTATTTCCGCATTTTCTCACGCCGTAAACGTTGATCGACGTACCGGGATTCGCTCGCTCGAATAATGGTATCTCCGATACGGGTGTGGGGACGGATAACGTGGAGAAGTCGTAACGGTTCTCTTCACGGAAATAATTCGCGCCTATTCTGAAACTGTTAACACGAGGCACATGCTTTGCCAAAATCGCCCACTTAAAGCATTGTAAATCTGTGTTTTGAGGGTTTATTACGGCCTTTCGATCTGCGATGCTCGGCGGGAGTGGCAAGTATGACGAGCCACCCATGGGCGAGTACTCGTAAACCCCCAAAAGCATCCCGTCAATGCACGATAGGGCAAAGCCGCTGTTCTTGCCCGCGTAACCGTCCTCCTCGGCGAGAAGTGCCGTAAAATCGCGATCTACCACACCCTCGACGTCGCTGTACGAGTACAACTCTCGGGCCGATGACTTGAAAGCACGGTTTTCGTTGCTGTTTTCCACGTTAGGTATTGCGTAGGTGGCCTCTAACTTGAGGTTATATTTAATCGGATGACTTAGCACACATTCACGTAATTTCGCTATTAATTCCGACTCAATCGAATGGAGAAATGCGCGATAACTCCTAACGTGTTCAATATTTTTCCTGAAGTACCACACGGTCGCGCGTTTGAACGTAGATTTTAATTCGACAAAGCCTGGAGTAATAACAGATTGCATACGAGCCTTTTTACGCTTAATGTTTCTGCCACTGTTCTCCGTATATTGATGCGATAGTGTAGTAGGCGGCGAGCACGCGTTATCACGGTCAAATGTCCGATTAGACGCGCCCGAGATACCAGTGATAACCGGCGCGACGGCCGGACGTGTCGTGGAGGCAACCCGGGGGATCGTGGAGGCGTGAGACGGGCCAGCTGCGTGCGCGCGCCGATTCGTGATAGCGGCGGCCGCCGGAGACGGGACAGCAACAGCTGCTGCTGCTGCTGCTGGCTGGGCGGGCGGTATAACGGTTGCGAGTGCGGGCGCCCAGTCTATAACCGTCGGACGATCTGACACGAATTAATGAATAATATTGTTATTAAAATTGTATTATTATTATTATTTAATGAGATTTTAAAAATTTACCCATTGCGCTGCCTATTCGAACCGCATTGCGGCCGTCGTTGGTATGCAGGCGGGCGGCCTCTGCTTATTCGGAAATAATTAAATTAAATTAAATTAATAACCTATGTATATATATAGTTAAAGCGTGCATTGTAATATGTACTTACTGTGGGCATTCTTGGTGTGTCGCGTTAGACTGCTCTGCTGCGTAAAAACCTTCGCACATATCCCGCATGAAATTGTTGAACCGTCGTGGATTTTTGAATGCCTGTTTAGATCACGCTTATGTGTATACACTTTTCCGCACGTGATACAGTTGAACATTTTTACGATATTTTCACAGAATTTAACAAATAAACGTTTGGAAATACGAGCAGGACCGTTATTAAGACGTTAAACACTGTCGAGCTCTGAAAACCGTCTGATGCGAAAAATATTAACGACGGCGGTGGATAACCAAATTCTGTATATTATATATCATATATTATATATGTATATATATATATTTAATATTAATAATAATAAAATCCGTGCCGACTTCACTGCAATACGCTGCATATGCGCATTCCCGCCGATCGCGTGGGATGAATACAACATATTGATATATATAAAATTAGCTTATGTTGCACAGAATAATATATACTATTACTATATACATATATTCGTATAGAGTTTATACTGTAATAGGTATGTATATATATATATATATAAAATTAGCTTATGTTGCATAGAATAATATATATTATTACTATATACATATATTCGTATAGAGTTTATACTGTAATAGGTATGTATATATATATGAATTATGCTACTATATATAGGTATATACTATAGTATAATATACATAGTATATACTCTAGTATATATAGGTATACACTATACTATGTACATATTATATACTTTAGTATATATGTATATACTATAGTATGAATAGAGTATGTACATAGTATATACTATAGCATGTACAAAGTATCTATATAGTATATACTTTAGTTTATATAGGTATATACTTTAGTATGTATAGGTATATACTATAGAATGTATAGAGTATGTACATAGTATATACTTTAATATATATATATAGGTATATACTATACTATACTATGTATATAGTATATACTTTAATATATATAGGTATATACTTTAGTATATATAGGTATAAACTATAGTATGTACAGAGTATATACTCGGGTATATATACGTATATACTAGGTATATCATGTATGGAGTATATACTATATACATATAATTAGGCGCTCGCGGGGGCCCGCGATGACGTAGGAGGCGCGGGACGACGTAGTCCCCGGTGTGGGAGGGGGTGGGGTGGGGGAAGGAGTCGCGGGATGACGCGGGGAGTCGCGGTGTCGGCGGGGGGAGTGGGGGAGGGAGTCGCGGGATGACGTGGGGAAGCATGATGACTGGTGAGCGGAGTGGGGGAGGGGAAAGAAGCAAGATGACGTAGGGAAGCATGATGACGTATACAGGTGAGGGGAGTGGGGAAAGGAAGAAGCATGATGACGTAGGGAAGGGCAAGGAGGGGCCGGGAGTCGCAGTGTGGGCGGAGGGAGTGGGGGAGGGAGTCGCATGATGACGTAGGGAGTCGCAGTGTGGGCGGGGGGAGTGGTGGAGGGAGTCGCATGATGACGTAGGGAGTCGCAGTGTGGGCGGGGGGAGTGGTGGAGGGAGTCGCATGATGACGTAGGGAGTCGCAGTGTAGGCGGGGGGAGAGGGGGAGGGAGTCGCAGGATGACGTAGGGAGTCGCAGGGAGTCGCAGTGAAGGCGGGGGGAGTGGGGGAGGGAGTCGCAGGGAGTCGCAGTGTAGGCGGGGGGAGTGGGGTGGGAAGCACAGTATAGACGGGGGGAGTGGGGGAGGGAGTCGCAGGATGACGTAGGGAGTCGCAGGGAGTCGCAGTGAAGGCGGGGGGAGTGGGGGAGGGAGTCGCAGGGAGTCGCAGTGTAGGCGGGGGGAGTGGGGTGGGAAGCACAGTATAGACGGGGGGAGTGGGGGAGGGGGTGGCGCGCATGGTGGCAGGGCGGGAGGGGGGTGAAGCGCGGGGGAGCCAGAACCGGCTATTTCATACTACTGATGTGGTTTAATAATATATTGTATACGAACCATGGAAGTAAATAGAGGGGGGCTTAGGAGGGCTTAGCCCTCCCTAAAAGATTTTAATATTTAGGTTATCTTTGTTATAATAAATTATATTAGTTATATAAATTATAACCAATGGTAATAGCTATAATGGTAATAGCTAAATATAATAAAATTAATAATATGTAAGAACGTTTTCCGGTTTTCGTATGATCAGTTGATGGCTATTTTAACGGCCAGCCTCCCAAACGTATCAATATATTATTATATCCCGCCGATGTGTGCCGTATGCGTGCTGGCATGCAGGTACCGACAACCAGGACACCGGGTACGATTTTAGCATAGAACAATATAGAAGTGTTGACAACAGTAAAACACATAATGGACAACTTAAGACAAATTTTAAACAAGTTTTCCAGAAAGGAAAGAAGGATGCAATTATAATGAAATTAATTATTAAATTATGTATAGTATTAAAACTCAAAAACAAAAAAAAAAAAAACTAAAAAAATTGAAAAATGAAAATATCCGTAAACAGCTCAAAAATAGTCAAAATATTTTCAAAATTATATGGTGTATAGGAAATTCTAATATAAACATTCAGTGAAATTTTCATGTATCTATAGTTATTCGTTTATATGAATTTATATGAATTTCAAACGCTCATAAAAATTTAATTTGACTGTCCGGTTTTTATTGATAAAGGTACATAAACTTATGAGTAATCTTGTATTACATTTTCAAATCTTAGATTTAAAAAAAAAAATTTTTACGAATTCTTAACTCAAAATAATTTGCTAATTTTCGTGATTTTTCCATATTTTGTCAATTTTTGAACTTTAAATGCTTATAAAAAAAAACTTTGACTAACGATTTTTAATATTTTTCATCTGCCTTTGAAACAATATACTAGGAGCCTTTTATTAAATTTTCAATTTTTTTAACCAACAAATAAAATTTTATTGATATTTCTAGAAAAAAAACTAAAAAAAAAATGAAAAATGAAAATGTCCCTAAACAGTTCAAAATAAATCAAAATATTTTGAAAATGTTATCGTGTATAGAAAATGCAAATATAAACAACCAGTGAAAATATCATGTATCTACGGTCATTTGTTTTAAAGTTACACCAAAAACCAAATCCAATTTTCTGAAAAATCAATTTTTCGTAAAAATTCCCGTTTTTCCTTAAGTTTTCTTTTGTTTTTCTTGGCGCTTTTGAAAAGTACTGGGAATTTTAAATTTTGACCTCCCCAATGCACCAACGATATTCACTTTCCAATCGAACAAGATACTGAAGTCGAAAATCGAAGCATTATTTCGACTACTTATCGTGTACACAGACACAAAAATAAAAAAATTAAAAAACACACATCATTGTAAAATCAATACATTCATCGTTTCACTCAGAATCTAAAATGAATGTTTGTCTGTCCTTTATGCATTCCTAAACGGATTTTGATGAAATGTTTTGTGTGTGTTTAAGTTATTCCCGGTATGATCATTTAAATCAAGGCTGGGCAAGTTAACTATTTTTTTAACTCGTTAAGTTAAGTTAATATAGAAAAATGTAAGTTAAGTGACAGCTATTGCGTATACTGCGTCGACCCCGATGACACTGTTGAGCACACGGTTTTTACCTGTCCGAGATGGCTTGGCGACCGCGTTCGAATGACTGAGATTATGAGGCGACCGTCGAACGCGGGCGACGTTGAGGAAATCCTGTGTGGTCGCCTGTCACATGACTTGCCGGAAGACGTCCAAGCCCGAAGGAGAATTATCAGACAGTTCGAAACTAACCGCGTGGAGTTCATCCGCATGGTCGAGACGATTCTGTCGACCAAGGAAAAAGATGAACGCGAGGAACAGGCCCTGGGAAGGGCACAGGGGAACGTGCGACCGCCCTGATGGAGAACGAAACATCCAGAGCGGTGGACTCCGGTCGGCTCGCCAATCGGATGACAGGCACGCGAATTCAAGGGCGGCGGACTCCGGTCGGCCAGAGAAGGTCAGGAAGAAGTCTTAATTGTTAATGCAAAATTTAAAATGCTTGAACGGGGTAAGTCGGGGAGCTGTCCCGTCTGCCTTCCATGTATATATTAATTTTTGATACCGTCAATAAAGGATGGCGGCGCCGAGGAAGCAATGCGAAAGCAGATCCCGCGGCGTCGTCGGTTAAAACAGGAAAAAAAAAAAAAAGTTAAGTTTAAAGTTAAAAGTTAAAAAAAGTTTAATTTTTTTAAAAAATTAAAAAACACCTTACGCTGGGCTCAAGAACACTTTTGTAGTAGGTATACATAATGTATAACACATTTCAAGCCTACGTCCTATTAATAAGTAAAATATTGCATATTTTTGGTTTATTTTCAGAATTCAAGCTTACCTATCTGTAAGAAACAACAACTGAACAACTACACTTTAGTATAACTTTTTCCTTTATATTATATAATCCGTTTTATAGTCCACTTAGTTATAGTCAGAGTACAATTAAAACAGATTATCAATTAAGACGGGGTTCAAAAACAAAGTAAGAAGATAAATAATAGTTAATATGTTATATAATATATTATACCTATAATGTACCACCTTATTATATTTTATCTAATAGGTCTATCTATACAAAAATATATTGTAAGGTATCATAGAAGTAGCTGAAGTAGCCGGGTAACCGAAAAAATTTCAGCAGATCATAAATATTTAAAAAAGTTTGTATCTCTCCCATATTGTACTTGCATTTTTTTTCTTATAAATATATTTTCACAAGTACAATAAGTTTGTGAAAATTGAAATGTTTATTTAGGTAGGTATTTAAATTAAAAATATTATCTGATCGATAAAATAATGAAAATTGAAATATTATTAGTGACCCAAAATATTACTGTACGGCATAAGTCATAATATATTGCAATATAATTTAGAAAATAATATTCTATGTCAGAATAATCAATTCAAAGTTGTTCCTATATAAATTCTATTATTTCACCGTGACGGGTAACAAATTCTTATGAACTATACTAAGTATAAATCACTAGAAGCTCAGGATAATTGCTAAAAACACAGTAGCATTTTATTGTAAGACATTATAATCGATCATTAGGTAGTTGCAATGATGTTGATAATATAAAAAGTTGTATGGAATATAATTACTTTTACAAATCCTGAAATCGTACCAAATTACCAAAAATATGGCTTCTTACATAGTGACATTTGGGAAATTTATTTTGCATA